TTTCGTATCGAATCTTGTATATGAGGTCCTGATGGAGAAGTGTACACTTTTCACACTCAAGTGAGAGGCGTGTTGGACAACAATTAGGATCCAATGATTTTCACTTTTCTATTGAATAAAGAAGTGACGAGGGAGGAGAAACACAAACATTTTCTCTTTTCTCTTTCTTTTTTCTTAAGAAAAAGGAAGAGAAAGAAGAGACAGATTTTGTACCCAGAGAACAAGAGAAGGAAGAGACTGATTTTAACCATACTTCCTTTTTACTCTTTTGGTTAGCATGTGATGGTAGTGAGCTGGTGTAGAAAACATAGATCCCACTTGGTTAAGGGGAAAATAAAAAGAAAAAAACCTTTCATAAATTTCAATTCTATTTTGTTCCTAGAAAGATTCATGAAAATTTATGGTTGATAGCTCGGTTAGTTGGATGAGAAAAGGAGGGCAAAAACAAAGTAAGCTCAGTTAAAGGCTTATATATTCTTAATAAAACAAATTAAGCTAATTAGAGCTAGTAATTGCATCCGTTTTCACACAAAATGATGTACATTTTGTTTTGTTTATCGGTAAATCGTTGGATTTTAGACTATATAATAACGAAGGTTCTTCTCTATTATATAATAATCGAATTAATTATATATGTTCATTATGGCTTGAATATATTTCATTAAAGAAAACTACCGATTATATAACTATTAGACTATGTCTATTTATGTAGATTTGTATATTCGTTAATTAATTATTTATTTACAACTTATAAATTCTAGTTACATACTTTTATTTCTCGACACAAAACAAATTTATTTTTATTATAAAGGATAGATAAGATCAAGATTTTCTATTCCTTTCAATCTAAAAATTAACCTCAGAAAATTTAAAAATCGCTACAAAGCCAACATTGATATTTATCGTTGTCGGTAACATGTTGGAAATTTATATTTGTCACTATTTTTGCTGTCCAATGAATGGCAATACTCTAGAATTCCCTTGCTTAATGCAATGAAATGCATGGATGTGATTACTTGGTATGATTGAGCGATGTGAAATTAAACAATATTTACAAAATTTGACACCAAGGATTATGTGAAACTCTAAAGGTGGAGAGGATAAACTTAGATACAGTGGCACTTTTTTAGCTTGGCCATATCTTCATGGGAATAGCTGCAACATCCCATGGGCCATGGCAAGCAGTCTTATCTTTCACAGAATTTTGTGTAGATGTTGTTGCTGATCAATGTCAAATTCACTTGGACATGTTTGATAGCTAAGGTTTCAACCTTTACAAGCTTGCGCGTGGGTGCCGCCCAAAAGGACGAAAGCGAAGAGAGCAACTGGGTCGGCAAAAAGGGGAGCATTGATTCGGACATCATACCACTGTTGCCTAAACACTGTCCCCTTACCTGCTTACCATGCTTTCCCTTCTTACATCCCATGTCCCTCTCTCTACTCTCTAGGCCCCACCACAGCCACATATTTCAACACACACGGCAGAATCCCTCTTGATTTTGTCTCTCTATGTAAACTATATGTCTCTCCAAGCTACTATTATAACCCTTAGTAGCAAGAAACCCAGATCTCTTACACCCAAAACTCTCTCTTCCTTGGTTTCCTTGTTGTTCTTGACATCTTGCTTGTGGGTTTTTTTTATTGGGAATTCTGGTTTTGTTTTGTTGTTGTTGGATGATACACACACACACACACACACACACACACTATACTTTGTAGTAAGTTGCTGAGCTAAGCAAGATGGAACTTCAACTTGGTCTCGGTCTCCCAAGTGAGAAAACAATGAAGGGTTTGGACCTAAACAGCTATGTTTCTGAGCCTAAAGGGTTGCAGCTGGGCTCGGGACAACTTCAACTAGGTCAATGTTCATGGTTTTCTACAAATGTTAATGACAAGAAACGGAGTTTTATTGATGCCTTTGAAGAGAGCTCAGGAAATGAAGATGGGCCTCAAACGTTACCTCTCTTGGTTTGGAATAACCAGCCGAACGACGAAGATGATTTCCCTAAAGATCTCGACAACCATAGTAGCAACTCTTGTGCCTCCAACAAGTATATACCCTCTCTCTTTCTGTAATCAAGTGCAAAATATAGCTAACTGTTTTGTTTTTTGACAAATTCTTTTTTTTTTTTTTTGGTTTGGCAGAAGCGATGGAGAAAGTGATGGAATAGTGGGGTGGCCACCAATAAAGTTCAAGAGGAAGAAGCTCAGTCGTCAAAGTAGCGGGGCGCTAGAGATCAATCGGGCAGTGGACAATGGTTGTGAAGATTGCCAAGCCAGAACATCAAAGTATATGTACATTAAGGTCAACATGGAGGGGGTAGGAATAGCAAGGAAAATTGATGTTAGCCTCCACCATTCTTTTCCAGCACTCAAGCAGACCTTGCTTGACATGTTTGGGATATGTAAGTAGTTTCGACATTACAATTCATATTTTTCCATTTTAACGAGACCATGAGAAGTGACAGATTCCTAATGTTGCTGTGAAATTCGGGACAGGCCAGGAAAACTCAAGCAGCTACAGACTAACTTACCAGGATAGAGAAGGTGACTGGCTACTAGCTGAAGATGTACCTTGGAGGTGATGCTCATAAATTCAAGAAAGCAAATTTTGCCTTCCGGGGCTTGAAATGACATGCAAATTGATGGTGTACTGATTTGTTTTTTTCTTATGGAACATTTTGAATCTTGCAGGAACTTTCTTGGGACAGTCCACCGGCTAAAATTGATGAGGAGAAGCAGCTGATTAGCTTTTTTTTCTTCCTTTGCTTTGAATTTTGAATCAATTGACCATGTATTATGTAATTAATTACCGGTAAGAAGAACCTAATTAACTTTATGACTTTTTGGATTAAAATAGAAGAAACACATATTATGGGTTTCTTTTGTTCGTGTTGGAGCTTTCTCTTCTTTGTGCATATCTTTTCCTTTCACCTTTATTCCTTGATACTGCCAGTTAGAATTTCTTCACAAAATGGTATGCTGTTGTGGTAAAACATGGACACGTGGATCAAAGCCTGACAGAACTGAAGTTTTTACTAATAAAGCCTGACCAAACTAAAGTCGTATTCCCGCTGTTTGTGGATATATAATATTTGCTTTAGGGGTAATTGTTTTCCCTTCCTTTTTTTTTTTTTTTTGAGATCTGTAACCTGTAATTGTGTTTGATCCCTCAGATTTGAAAAATGTCTACTTTTTGATAGTTTAATTACAATTTTTTTTCTTGTTAGAGAGCATCTGGTTGGTGGGTTCGATTTGATTAAAAAATATTTTGTTTGAATTTCTAATCAACTTTTTGGTAAAGTAAATTTAACCAAAATATGGGCAAAACTCGAATTAACCTACTTTTTGATAGTTTAATTACAATTTTTTTTCTTGTTAGAGAGCATCTGGTTGGTGGGTTCGATTTGATTAGAAATATTTTGTTTAAATTTCTAATCAACTTTTTGGTAAAGTAAATTTAACCAAAATGTGGGCAAAACTCGAATTAACCAAAAACTTGAATTAACCAAATTAAATTATACTGTGAATGTAATTATTTTATAAATAGGACATAACTTGTAAACAATTGTGTGTGTATAACATTAGAGGGTTAAATTAAAAAGAAAAAAAATTTAAGAAAAGGAAATTAAAAAACCAAGGGTTAAAAAATATAAATTTAGATTGAAAAATAAAATTTAAAATAAAAAAATTTAACAACAAAATTAAGAATAAAAAATAAAAACCACTAAATCAAAAACAATAATATATGACATGTTGTAATTTAAGAATTAAATTGAAAACATCAAAAACTTTCTCAAAATGGTTAAGTACTAAAATAAACAATCAATAAAATAAAGAATAAAATTGAAAAAAACAAACAAACATGTATTTTTATTGTAAAAGAAAGAATAAAAAAATAAAAAGAAACAATTACTAGCAATAAATTATTTATCAACCATCATCACACGTCGAGGAAGAAAGGTGGTGCTTCCAGTGATACTACGAATTAGTAGATTGGAACACTGGAAGGCATTACACACACCTCACAAAAAGATCAAAACTCAAGGGTCACACGTTTGTTGTTTTTTAATTTAAAAATTAATTATTCAAAACAAAAGGTTGAAAACACCTTTTATGATTATGGTATTGACCAAAAAAAAAACCAGGTGAAACGAAAAAATCGCCTTTGTACTCTTTTTTTATATTATTTTAAGGTTAGTAATATCCTTTTATAATTCTGCAAAAAAATATAAAGGTATAAATATCTGTTAGCAGGCCAATTTTTTCTAGTGCGGGATAAATAAGTAATTAGACTATTAAAAAAAGTTTAAAAAATAAAAACTAGCATGGGCAATCATTTTATAAGTTAAATTTCATGTTTGTAATTATAATTGTGATTATTTTTTAAAATATTTTTTATTTAAAAATATATTTAAAAAATTATTTTAAAAAAATTATTTTTGATATTAGTATAATAAAGTCATCGAAAATATTAATTTTAAATAAAAAATAAGTTTTTTAAAAATACAAAAACAAGATAACAATTAAAATATAAATAAATAAATGCAGGTTAAGAATCAAATAAGATCCCAAATTGATGTCAAGACACGAATCAGGTTAAGGATCAAGTAAGATCCCAAAAAATCTGTGTTTCATGATACTCGTCAGGACACGAACCCAACATCACGTCACTGCCTCTCATTTTCCACTGCAACCCATCGCACATAAACTTCACCACCCTCTCCAATGATCAAATGCCACGTAACCAGAGAGAGCACTCCATTTGGCAATCATTTCCTCTGTCTTCTTCTCTCTCCCACCATAAAAGTATTTTCCATTTCTGCTGTCTGCGACTCTGCGACTCTGCTTGGATGAAAACGGTGCCGTATTAAAATGGGAAATTTTCAGCTAATCTGTTCATTAATGAATCTCCTCCAGATCCTGAACTTGGTTTAATTGAGGTGATTAATTTTTTTTTATCATTTCATTTCCTTCTTTGCTTCAACTTGGTTTCTTGTTTTTCTTTTTTTGATCTTCATGTCATTGAAGAAATTGGATTTGAATACTCTCAGTTTGAAGTATGTTAATGACAATCATTGGTCCACTCTTTATTGTTATATGTTGCGATGTTATTATAAATATATTTTAGAAACTATAAACTCTTTTTATCATTTTCTTTTAATTTGAAATCGTGAAATTTTCTTACCCCACTTGCTTTCTTCTTCTACTTGTTTTTTTCCTTTTTTGGTATATCATTGCATCTTTAATGTTAAAATGATTTTAATTCTGTTATTTTGATGCATGGTTAATTATCTTGAATATTTAGATACATTGTTTTCTCTATTTATGTATTTGGTTGGTAGGGATGACAAGAAAAATGGCATTAATTTGTTGAAGAGTGATGGGCTGTCATCATGCACTGTTTTTATCAAATCGTTTATTACAAAGACAGTCGTAAATTCTGATGTGAAATCCAAGCTAGGTGGCTAGTTGTTACTAGGTTTGCTTTGCCAACTCTACTTCTATGTGTTTCGTCTTGTTACTCCTTGGAGACAGATGGTGAGATCCTATGATGTTTTTGAGAGGTTTGTTTACGCGGGTTCTCATAGAGGTGGGGTACTAATTGATTGGTTGATTTTAGCATATTGTTTCCCGCACAATGTAATGTCTAAATGTAAGCTTGACAGTAAAGAAGTGGTTAGGTTGAGAAGAAAAGACAGGTTGAGAGATAGGAACAAGAGATGCCATAGAGGAAGAGAGAATATTTTCCGGTGTACTCTATATATGTGTTTACGCATATGTACAGCTCTGAATTCCAAACAGCTAACTCTATTCATGTAAAGTTCAAAATACAACAGAATTACAACAGGAAGATTTGAAAATAGTTCTTAGTATTATCTACATATCTGTCATTCGTATGCTTTGGAACTGCTCGGCAGCTTTGGAGAATGGATATGAAACCGATAGGCACTGCATGATGAATTCTGACAATTGTGATTTTATTATTAAAGAAGAAAGAGAACAGGTAATGGAATGTGCACATTGAACATTTAAGACAAGTGCTTAAATTTTCCTTTCCTTTATTTGTTTCATTTCTTTTCTTTGCAACTTTAAAATTTATGTGTGTAGTGTAAATGGATTTCACTTAGGGTTTAGGGGAGGGAGAAGTTAGTTATAAGAGTTTTAAGAATTGGGTTCGAAGAGTGGTAAAGGGTTCTAAACTGATTGTCGCTGCTGTTACTTGTTTATTGAAAATTTTCTAAGGGTTTTCCCTCTGTTTTTGCCGCTAGTTTTGTTTGCTTTCTTTGCTACGCCAAGTTTAAGGAGAAAAACCTTTCTTGACTTCCATTTTCCAAATTTCAGAATGCGCTTAACTTCTGCTTCATGTTTCTTTCATTGTTGTTTATGTGCGCCAGTTTCTTCTTTTTTACAGCCTCTTGTGATCCAAGCAGAATGACACAGAAAGATAAATATAGCCTGCCTCTACTAGTTTGGGTTTGAGGCTTGGTTGTTGCTGCACAGCTTGTTTCGATTACTGTCCCCTTGAGTATAGCAAAACTAAAATGAGGTTTGCAGCATTTTAATTTAATAACTTTGTCTAGCAAACAAGTCATTAAACTATTTTCTAATTGCCATCGCAGTCTTATTCATGACTACCCAAATATTATGTAGATGATTGAAGTTGGAAGAAGCATGGCTTTGGGGTTTCCTGAATCAGGACCATGCATGTAACTGCACCGTTCAATCTTTCTAAACCAAATCATGGCCCCTAGACACTTTCGCTTAGCCTGCAGAAGAGTACCCTTCAAGGTTGTTTTCTTCATACTGCTGATACTTGTGCCAATTTGTGTGATTGGAATCCTCACACATGCCCAGCTTGTCTCCTACATTTTACGTCCACTTTGGGACAACCCCCCACCTCCCTTTAAACACCTACCTCACTATTATGCAGAGAATGTCTCAATGGAACATCTTTGCCAGCTGCATGGTTGGTCCCTACGATCTGAGCCTCGTCGTGTGTTCGATGCCATCATCTTTAGCAATGAGCTAGACATTCTTGAGATCAGATGGAGAGAGCTTCATCCTTACATCACTAAATTTGTAATCCTCGAATCAAATACCACTTTCACTGGCATCCCCAAGCCTCTCTTCTTTGACTCAAACCGGTCTAGATTTGCCTTTGCAAAGGAGAAGATTGTCCATGGTGTATTTTCAGGCCGAATTGCTGCCCGTGGAAAAAATGGAAACCCTTTTGCACTCGAGTCTGAGCAGCGGAAAGCTATGAGTGGATTGCTCCGCAGTTCAGGAATTTCCTACGGTGACTTGATCATTATGTCAGATGCAGATGAGATTCCAAGCCCACACACATTGAAACTACTGCAGTGGTGTGATGAAATTCCACATGCTATGCACCTTGAGCTCAAGCACTACATGTACTCTTTTGAGTTTCCTGTAGATTACAGTAGCTGGCGGGCCACAGTCCAGATTTTTGGCCCATACACCGGTTACCGGCATTCACGCCAAACTGACCTTATTCTCTCTGATTCTGGGTGGCACTGTAGTTTTTGCTTTCGCCAACTTCAGGAATTTGTGTTTAAGATGACTGCATATAGCCATGCAGATAGAGTTAGGAGGAATGAATTTTTGAACTATTCTAGGATTCAGAAAATCATTTGCAGTGGAGATGATCTCTTTGATATGCTGCCTGAGGAGCACACCTTTCAGGAGCTGATTAAGAAGATGGGACCAATACCCCATTCAGCTTCTGCGGTCCATCTCCCATCATACTTGATAGAGAACGCGGATAAGTTTAGGTTTCTTCTTCCTGGGAATTGTTTACGAACATAGGAATGAAGGTATTGGCAGTCCGAATCAAAATGAGTAAAATACGTAGATGCAGTACTGTGCAGAACTCTGTCATTGTTCCTTTTCCTTTTGAGGCCTCAAATGCCCAGTTCTGTAAAGGGATGTCTAGTTGGATAACAGTTGCAAACAAAGAAAAAATTGTCTTGCTCCGGTCCCAATGATTATAGCTCTTCTAATCGGATTCGTTTTCTCTGGGAAGGCATATTGTTCGGTTCAAGCATTAGAACATTCAACAGATTGATCTATGGGCATTGGAGCCCTCTCACGTGATGGTTTCTATGCATCAAGATACCACGCAAGAATCAAGTTTATACACATCAGCATTTCTTTGAGTAGTTAATATTTCTTTGTTTTAATATGTTTGATTTTTACTAAAAGATTGGGAGAAAACTGAAAAAACTATGAATGGTTGTTGGAAATTCGTGAGAAGCTGGCTGCCAAATTCTTCATTATTCAGATTGTTTTTGTTTTTGAAAAAGAAAAAGAAAAAACCAGCTTGGTTGGATTTATGTTTCCATTAAGATTAGTATTTCACTAAAAGCATACAAAGCCGTACGTCACTATAATTAAGCCATTCATTACACCAAATATTGATTTTTATACTATATGGATTAATTAACTAGTTATGACAAACTACAGAGAATAAATTATAATTAACTCTTTTTTTTTCTCTAGGAGTTTTTTTTTATAACTGAAATGGTATTTTCAAGCTAGTTTATTTTACCAAACTACATCGCCGCTATTCATATTTGGGACAATGTATTGAAAAATTAAAAAAAGAACTTTCTTATTGCCTTCTTAAGATTTAAATTCTAAATAATATTATGGAAAGCGAACCTAATGGTGCAGTCTACTAATAACTGTTTGATATTGTATTTGTAATTGCATTTAAATATTTTAAAAAATATATGTTAAATAAATATTTTAATATATTTTTAAATAAAAAATACTTTGCATTACAATATTTAACACTAAATTAATCTTCCAAGAGTGATTTTTTTTATACAGGGTTGAATTGCACAATTGCATCAGCCGTGGGAACATTTTCATTGTGTTGCAAAACAACGTCGTTTGGTTATATATATATAAAGAGGTGTTTGTGTTTGTGTTTGAGTAACAATTACATCATGAAAATGAGAGGTGATAAATAATAAAATAAAAAATTCTGGAGAGCCCAGTAATTGAAATACTGCATGAGTTGCTCTTAAAGATACGATAATAAAATAAAAAATTCTGGAGAGCCCATTAATTGAAATACTGCATGAGGTGCTCTTAAAGATTGTACATAATTCGATACATCAATTTCAGTAATCTTACGTCTCCTTGAGGCTTGAAAACATGGCCTATGCCAGGCTGGTGGTCTTAGATCTGTAGAGCAAGTACACAATTTGCATCACAGAGGTTTGGTAGCTCCACTTTAGTCTCTCTCTCTCTCAATAATCGAGCACATGCACAGGGAAGCTGGTGAACCATCATGCCAAAATAAAGGCATTAATGTATGAAGAGTTGGGGAAAAATCTGACCGGTCCCATGTGGTCACGAAAATAAAGCTTCTTTCAAAGTCTTAGAGACGCCATAATTATCAACCTGCGTAGAAATTAATCTCTTGAGATAGATAATTAGTGGTCATGATTCGATTGAATTTTCTATTAATCTGTTGAGATAGATAATTAGTGGTCGTGATTCACTTGAATGCTTGTTTTATCGTTGCAATTTGTGATTTTTTTAAAATGATTTTCAACTTGTTTTTTTCCTTGAAAATATATTATTTTTCATGTGTTTTATGTATCGAATTTTAAAATAAAGTACAAAAATTAATTAAAATATCATTTTAATATATTTTTAAATAAAAACATTTTATTTTGTATGGCATCCCGGGACACAAACTTTGGTGTTGTTGCCCTTTTTCCTGTATGACATGATAGGTCATATATATCATTTGGGAAATTATTTTGCATGTAATTTATGCTAATAAGATGGGTTGATCGGCAAAATATTCTTTAAATTCGATAGAAAGTGTGAAATGCTAGATATGGGATTGCTGGGTATCTTGTGCCTTGAGTTTCTTGCAATGCTTTGGGGGATTTGTTATCATCATTAAAGGTTTTTTTTTTTTAGATTAACGTGGGTGTCCGGGTCAATTTGCGCGCACTATAACTAATCCCACGGGCCCTAAAGTTAACGGCCATGTAAACCTCCAATGGTCATTATATGAGCAACCAAGGACTCGAACCTGAGACCATAAATGCTTTGGGGGATTTGTTATCATCATTCAAGGTATTCTTGAAGCAGTCTAACGTGGGTGTCCGGGTCAATTTGCGCGCACTATAACTAATCCCACGGGCCCTAAAGTTAACGGCCATGTAAACCTCCAATGGTCATTATATGAGCAACCAAGGACTCGAACCTGAGACCATAGAGGGAGCAAACCCCTTAATTTCAAGCTCTTACCACTTAACCACCACCTAGATGGTATTCTTGAAGCAGTTTTCTAAGTTGTAACTAATCAGATCATCCACGCCAGACTATTTTATTTATATAAAAAAATAAATTATGCCTTCTCTAATAGTTCAAATTCAAATTAATAATTAAAAAAATCTCACTTATCAATCAAATTAAATCTTCAAATATGTAAGCACTGGGAAATCAAGAAGGATACCGCCATCATGATTTTACTTGATTAAAAAACTATTACGTGATGAACTGATGTTTATGTGGATCAAAATAATTTCTAATTAGTTGACGTGAAGGTATATTCTTCTATTCTAAAATTGTACATACAGTTAACCCAATAAATTTACTTGGTAATTCATTATAAATTGACAACCTAATATTGGTTTGATTACCTTGAATAAAATAATATGGTAGTAGATATGGTTGGTTTGTCCGATGATCTAAAATTATATTATAAAATTTTCTCCTTTAATTCTTTCATATTAAGAGCTTATTTATTTTTGTATTTTAAAATTATTTTTAAAAATTGAATTTTTTATTTTTTATATTTTAATATATTTTCAAATAAAATTTATTTTAAAAGGCAATTGACAGCCGTTAACGCACTTTCACCCACCTTCGAGTTTACTTTAGCAATATCTTTGATAGCTAAAGTGATTTTGCCATTGCAACAATCAAGAAAGAAAAGAGAAACTATAAACTGTGCCATGTGATTATCCATAGTAATCTACCATTCAATGAAAGGGAGTCAACTTCGTCGTCGTTAGCTAACACATAAAACTTTTTATCGATGGAACTTGTGGTTAAAATAATTTTTTTTTTTAGTTTTATTATTTAGTAAGTTGAAATCGTTAAAAAAATTTAATTTAATATCTTTTTAAGATAAATTCCTAGTAAACGGCAGACGGGTTGACATGGTGTGATTCTTAAGTTTTTATTTAAATTCTTAGTAATTTTGGATCTCACATTAAATGCAGTTCTCCGTTTTTATCCTCTCAATCTTTAACACGACACAAAACATTTATATGTCCAAAAATTGATATACAATTGAAAATTGGTCCCGAAAGCTACATTCCCATTCCCACTACCTGGAATAAATTAGCAAAACAATTACGTCACACAAAAGGTTAGAGTTTGAGCTTAAAAGATTGCTTGGAACCCGGATTAGATTATGTTTTATAAAAATTTAAATTTTTTTAATTTTTTTATATTATTTCTATGTGTTAATATAAAAAATATTTAAAAAAAAATATTAATTTGATGTATTTATATATAAAAAATATTTTAAAAATAATTACTATTACACTTTTAAATATTATTGATGGAAAGAGAGAGAGAGAGAGAGAGGCATTGTACATAAAGAAAGCCACGCCTCAGAGAATAAACTTTTGAAATGCATGGTATAGAATTTGTTTGGAATTATACTAGAAATTAAATTAATTTTTTATTATTTTAATATATTGATATTAAAAATAATTTTTAAAAAATAAAAAAATTAATAATATTTTAATATATTTTTAAATAAAAATATTTTAAAAAATAATTGCTTGAAAATCGCTAAACACGGTATAATTTAAAGAAAAAAGAAAAAACGAGAAAAGCTGGAGCCAGTAGTGGGCCGTCTGTCCCACGAAAGCATTGACAAATAGAATGGGAACTTTTTTATTTTTTTCATGCCAAACGAAACTTCATGGAAAGTGACATTTGCTAGTGACATTAATTTATGCTGCAAAGAATTTTATTTGTGGAATCTAATTAAAGGGTAGAGTTTGCCGTACCATACATTATCTAATCACGCCGAAAAGGTCAATGTCTTTCCTGTACAAATCTGGACTCATCTTGACACGACGACAAGAGGTTTGTCTGGAGGAAACTTCTTCCTCGCAAGACGGGAAGGTAAAATTCAACTTTGTGTGTTTGTTTTCTCGGCTTAACATGTTCTTCGAATGGTTTCTTAAACTATTTTTTATTAAAAAAATTATTAAAATATTTTTTTAATATTTTTTATGTTTTTAATTTTTTAATATCAAAAATTTAAAAAATATCATTTAATATATGTTTAATTAAAAAATATCATTTATTGTAATATTAAGGGTCTATTTGAAAACATGATTATAGTTGTTTTTAAATTATTTTTTATATTAAAATATATTAAAATAATTTTTTATTTTAAAAATTACTTTTAAAATCACCGTATAAAAACGGTTCAAAATATATAAAATAAATTAATTTTTTATACAAAAATAATTTTAAAAAAACAACTATAGTTTCGCCCATAATTTTAAAAATTCTCTAAAAAGATGAGTACAATTCTCCTTTTCTAGGAAATTGCTCTGTATGGTTTAATTAATTTATTTTTTTGAAAAATCTCTTATATTTGATAATATTATGATTTGAGATTTTTTTAAGAAGCTGTTTTTAATTTAAATAAAAGGCACATATATTTAATTAGTTTTTGAGGCTTTTTCGCACCCTTGGTTTTAAGTGAAACCAGTGGAGATGAGTTGTAATGTCACGTTCCGCATGATGGCATTGAAAATCAAGAACCCAATCTACGAGTTCTCAACGAAAGGCTCTCCACGTTGAAAATTTGTGCAGCCTCCATTAACAAATGCTGCCACAGCCACCTCGAATTAAGCAAGTTAGGCTTTGATAGACATTCTGAATTCTAATTTCACTGCTAATGGAATATTCATCGAATCTTGCTTGTAAATGACACGAGCTTGAACCTCCATTTCTAATTG